GCTTCCAACAAAAAAATCCTTGAATATTCTTTCTTGTAGACAAGAATAACGTGGAAATTTCTCACTTTAAACACTTCTTTTTTTTTATAACTGAATTAATTTAATGAAAAAATATTTAATTTATTTTAAATAAATAATTCAAAATAAATAATGAAAAAATATCAACAGTACATCAATAATCCGGTCAAGCCGACGACTCCAAAACAGATATTGTATACAAACACATGCAGAACTATCGCCGCGTGAGTACACGAGGTTAGGTTATATACAATGGGTCCTATGATTGAACGTTTACGTTATCCGTAACGTACATGTTAGGCCGAATTTTAAAAGTAACGAGGCAAGTTCGTATGATGGAAACCTGTTAAATTAGAACATAACAGGCGGAAAATAACAGTAATGTGTTATGAAAGACTTTACATCATACGAATTTGTCTCTTTGCTGTTAAAACTCGGCCTAACATGTACGTTACGGATAACGTAAACGTTCAATCATAGGACCCAATATCATGGATCTCAGAAAGGTCAGAATACAAGCTTTACTTTGATCTAGTTATTAATCCTCAAAAAAAAAAAGAGCGGGGAACAAGAAATGGTTAAACAAAAAATGGCCGGTTTTCACTCGTGTACAGGTTTGACCCTTCAGTTACTGGACTATATCTATAGGTGTGCAAAACCATATGACCGGGAGCATGGGACCCAGAAAAGCATACCCTCCTTTCTAGAATTTAAGATATCAAAGAGAATATTTATCATTATTTTAAATCTAATTTGTTGCACCAGCTTCAGCAAATTCTCTCATTTTTAATTCATCTTTACAAAACCTAATGCGATTGCAACACTCTCACTCAAAGCGGCACAATTAATATATCAATTTCCCAAATACGACCTTGCACATTGTTTACTATGCTGTATACTTAGTTGTGGAATGTTATTTCTGATAATTTCTTCGTATGAACATCTATCTATTATAGGTTGCTACAAATTCGTTGAGCACAAACAACCATTGTTTAACTTTTAATATGTACAATATATTTAGTTTGCAAACGACATAAAAATAGTAAAAACGTTGATTTAAACCACGATTATCTGTTTGAAGGATCCGTGAACACAATATGGCGGAAGTGAACCCGTCTTGGACCACGTGACAGAGTCTCCCTACCTTCTACCTCCATGTTCTCTTATATCGGCCAGTGTTAACCGATACTTACCGAACACAAATCTTCTAATAAATGGAGTGTCGGGCAATCGTAGAGGATATGCTCGATGATCTCATCTTTTGGGTATATAACTCAAAGCCAATAATGATTTGAGTATACCTACCAAGTGCGGTGTAAGTTCTTCCAGACCCCACTGAAGTAGGGCTGGATATAGATAACGTCAGGTCCTGGCGATTTAAATTAAGAGAAGCTAGATATTGCCCATCTAATTTTGTCATTATAATGTATTTGGCAGATGGTTTGTATTCTTTATTCTTCCTCTGCCTATGCAGCAGTCAGCCATGCGTCTATGATGACTGAGTCAGACAAGTGTGTTAACAGCTATCTTCGAGGTTTGCAGTTTTCATGTCATCCTCTTTGATTAGCGCACCAATTCGACCTGCGGGAAATCTTCGTTTTCTTCGCAGTAGGATCTCCATGCATCTCTCTGTTTTTGTCTAACCATTTTTTTTTATTCTCTAATGTGAGATTTGTAAGTGTCCCAGTCCTCTTTGAGTTTTGTGGTTCTTGTCTTATTAAAGGATTTTCTAGCCATCTTTTTGAGGTGATCCAACACCACCATGTGGTAGTCGTCTGATCGTGTTGGACCAGCCTGAGGGAACAGGATTTCATATAGGCACTGTTTATTATGCTTTGTATAGTTTTTAAGTACTTTTTCAAAGCATTATTACTGTTTGGTGTTTCGGCCTCCACCTCCTTCGGAGCCTCTTGGAGAAGATGAGCATAAGTTGCCCTGTTCACCTTCCTAGGGTTCCGAGTTAGGGTGGAGGTCGGCGATATCAACTTAATTTTGAATGTTAACCAGCGGTGGTCTGACATCGAAATGTCATCAGACATTTGCCAGAAGAGTGACACAAATCTAATTGTGCTCCAAACAATCAATGAGACAAGATCGCCAATTTTCGGTAGAGTGACTTGAATCAAAATATGTCAGTTTTATTTAAAAAACAGTGACAAAAGTCAAATTGGAACATTATTGTTGAAAAGGTCGTTGTCAATTTGGTGTGAAATATAATTTTTTGGAAGATCGTCATCACAGCTCAAAAGAGAGATGAAAAAATAATATTTATGGATTTTTTCTTAATGTTATGGTTAGGTGTATAACATTTTATTCCATTTGTAAAAATAGACTATAAAGGAGAAGAAAATCGATGTTCTTTTAATTATTTTATATTAAGTACTTATCTATAAACATAAAATGTCAAATGATGACAAAAGTCTTCTTATTCATCATTTAATTGGCTTAACTTGTAACTATATTTGTTTCTGTTTTTATCAAATTTCGAATATGATGTATGAATGTACTATCTGTGAAATGTTCTAAAATAGCATGAATTCATATTATATAGATGTTTGAAATCTTTAACATTAATGCCATACTACCAACTTAAACGCGGTAATATTAATACAGTTTCCCAATAACAGTTACGTAAATTATGAATTGTATAATGGCGGTTTGTCTATAAGGGCTGTAGCCCTACAGCCCTCCAGTACAAGGGGAAACCAATTTACATTACATAAATATAAAACCAAAATGTATCATGTTATCTACCCATGACACTTAGGCCTCACTAAGTGCATTCAAACAGGTCCTTTTCTTTTGGTTGATCCAATCATAATCTTGCATTCCGTTGCTGGCATTAAATATATTTTCCGTTACCAGTGACCTATTTACAGACGCTGCTGGCTGGCTACAAACAAGGAAGGACTAAAAGTCTGTTGCTCTCAATTAAGGAGTTCGGGCGGTTAGATCGAACGACGTCTATCGAAGATACGGAAATTTTACAAGAAATATGGCTGCGAAAATCTCTGTCTTTGCTCCTCGCTCCAGTCTAGATAGTAAGTTTCTTTATTATCTTAGCCAAAGTTGCCAATTTACCGATTTTCGATCTCATCTACCGAATTTTAGGGATATTTTATTTCTCTAACATACTACTTTAAATATAATAGCTGCGAGTTTTGATTTTGCTTCCTAAGTGCAGATGGCGTTATCATTTTTGACTTGTTTTTACCTATTCGTTAACCATCTTTCATGCATACGAGTGAAGGTAACGCATTAGGTAGACTAAAGTCAAGATCGTCTAATGCTTGCTGATTAGTCCTAATAAGGACGAAACCGGTCCTAGTGTGACTGTCTCTTTAGGAAGCAAAATCAAATTTAGAGTATTATTTTCTCTCTGCTATTCACCTCGGAAAATAATAATAATAATAATAATAATAGACGTTCCTTCCCTTACACAAGACTCGCGTATCAGGGATAACACCAATGATTTGTAATTGCTGTGGTGGGAGGTGTTTGTGTGAATGCGTCTTGTTTGTTTTCATTTATGCCGTGACTAGCAGTAGTATTTTATAAACCTTATAAGCAAATTTAACTTACATGAACAAATAATAATAATGCCGTGACAACAAGAAGATGAAGCAACGACTTCTCGTAGAAAATTTCAATCCATACCTGGCTACGCCGACCGCCATAAACACCAACGGCCTGGACACAGCTCATCTACTCTGTCAAAAGGAGACCGATGTAGAAATAAAACGCGCACGACATGCGCACTACAAATCATTAATATTGTCCCCGATACGCGAGTTTACACAAGTCGCTCAGTCGACTTCAGGGGTTGAAATTCACTTGTAAGAGGGTGAATTAGGGAGAGTATTATAATATATAATGTAATGCCTGTTGCGGTATTAGCCAAGGGAGTACTGGGAGTAGTTGTTTTCAAGAGGGAAATGGTCGCTCGTTGTTTCTGTGACACGGTCTTTGAGAATTTATCTTTTCCTTCATAATAGATTTATTTACCTTAATATCAAATGTATTCAAGAATATGTTTTAACTATTCAAAATGTATGCAACACATTTTAATTTAAACTCTCAACTCTGTGGAAGCAGCAAATGGTACTTTAAGAATACCGTTTTTATGTAGTATAAAAATAATTTGTTTGATTGCAAGTAGTATGCTTGAAAAATCTAAAACTTGCGTATCGTGTATAATATATTGCCTACGTCCTGAATCTTTCTAGTGGATATTGTTTATAAAGATGGTTTAATTTCGCTAATAACTAATAACGTAATAATATATTGTGAAAATATGGTAGAAGTTAATTTTTATTTACTAAATATATTCATTTGCCTGTAGTATATGCTCAATTTACATGCTTTTCGCCATGAGAAATGAAGCGAGCAACAAAGGTGTCAATTTTGTCACACGGCGAGTGACAAAGCTGTGTCAGTTTGCGGAAAACGTCAACTTTGCGGTTGGATTTCGAAGCATAAAAGCCCACTGTGGATAGTGATCGTAGAAAAAAATTAATATATTCTGAATTTTTCTTTGTTAAATTTTGAAATACCTTGTATGACCAAAACGTTTAATTTGAAACAATGCGGGTTATTTTATAATAATAAAAATTTGACAAAAAGTGTAATACAATATTTATTGAAGCAAAAAATATATATCGTTGCACACTGAACATATAAAGCCAAGTATGTCGTTATTGCGAATGTATACTAATTTTCCGTCACCTTATAAAACGGATTATTTAACGATTTTTCATTTTCCGGCAAATCTTCATCGCCTTCTAAACGACCTGGCGCGGTCTGAATGTCGTACGTTCTTCCTAAGAGCAATTCAAAATTATTTTCCTGGTTTACAAATATATTTTTACAATATATCGACTGTTTAGAACATCACGACGTTTTAATAAGGACATTTAAAGTCATAAACATGAGTTTATTATCTCCAATTGTTTAAACCACTATTGAATAAAAATGGAACTTACCAGCTGGAGGGAGTTTAGTTCTTGGTATCACTAAATCCGGAAGTTTATATTTTTGAGAATCCTCTAACCATATGGCATGCTCCTTTATAGATTCTAAATCACTACAAATATTTAATAACATTTTAAAAGTCAAATGGTCAACATAAAAAACAACTCACCAATAATTACATTCTTTTTTCAAAGTCCCCGCAAGTTTTTCGGAAATCTGCGTCAACAATATAACGCTTTTTTCGTGCTTCCTAATCGTCTCCAGGTAATCCTGTCTTTCGGTTTCAAATTCGCTTTGAATATCCGATATTTCCTTTTCCAGAATTTTGACTTTATGCCTGTACTTTCTTAAAACTTCCGTTTTCAACATGAGCTCTTGACTTATGTCTTTATATTGGTTGTGGAGCAGTTCTCTGTCCTCGTTCATGTCAATTTTCGCCAAGAGTCTTGCAATCACACTGAAAAGATAATTGCATGAAAAGTCGCAGAAAGATTTAGAGTCACTTTACAATTCGCAGTTTTCTCGGATCGAATCTCAGGCAAATATTATCAAGATGAGTCACTACATTCATATATCACATATCGCTATTACCTCGTATTTATTATACAGCCATAAAAATTCAATAAACTCTCCACAAGAAAGTTGACACTATTTTAATAGCTATTTTTGCAACCAGTTACGAAATGTTTTATTTTATGTAAAGAGTGAATCTTTGCGGGACGATCAGAGCGAGATCCCGCAAATGAACGAATTACTGAAAACGGCATTTCGTAACGTGTTAAAATTTGGCATTCCAACAACCTGTCAAATAATAACTGCCAGCGGGAAGGGCTCGTATATACAGAGTGGCCCAAAAGTCTGGAAACGGTCAATTATCTCGTAAAGTAATAGTCCTAATTATACAAAATTTGGGGTACACCTATTAGGAGATACGGAGATTCCAGATTTGATATTTGCAATGTTGCCAGATTTTCCATCTTTCTTATATTATTAGTCACTTTGGTTTTTCAAATTAATCACCCTGTATATTCAGTCATTATTGGAATCTCCTATTCCATACGAGTTCAACCATATGTATATAACACTTATGATTTTATGTAGTCTGGAAGGTCTTAAATAAATAAAACAGAAGTCTGGCAACGCCTAATTATCTCAATAAATTTTTTAATACAAACTATTTTCAACTACATTAGACATAACAATTAAAAGATTACATTTTTAACATAATGGTTACTTTATCAAGTGTTCAAAATGTGCTCCATTTTTGAGTTGCCAGTACCCTAATTGATGGTAGAATGTATAGGGTGTTAAAAAAAAAGTGTCACAAAATAAAACGGGGGGTAGTATGGGCCAAAATATGCAGAAAAGTCTTAATAAACATATGTCCGCAAATGAATGGTTTCAGAGATACGGAGTGTTTTATGTTTTGTATCATTTTTTGATTATCTTTTTTCATTCTCAAAAACTTGCTTTTCTTATCGGAGTCTACCGATGTTTTTTTATAGATACTATTTGCAGTTATTATTTTGTTGTGGGTGAATAATTTTATAAATTTTCGTTATGCCTGTTTACACTAATATTTGAATTAGCTGACATGCATTTTATGTACGGTCGTGCAAATGGCAATGAATTGAAATGGAGGGAGGGCACTTTGAACATCTCATTTAACTCTATGTTGTTATTGATTGTTTATAAATATCACTGTTTTTTTATAATAATAAAAAATTGTTATAAACACAAAATGGTCCGTATCTCCGAAACCGTTAATTTGCGGTCATATATTTATTAAGACTTTTCTGCTTATTTTGTTTATAAATATCACTGTTTTTTTATAATAATAAAAAATTGTTATAAACACAAAATGGTCCGTATCTCCGAAACCGTTAATTTGCGGTCATATATTTATTAAGACTTTTCTGCTTATTTTGGGTCATACTATTAACCATTTCATTTTGTGACACTTTTTTTTTAACACCCTGTATACCACATTTCTCCATGATTGTTTTATTTATTTGAGACCTTCCAGACTTCATAAAATTATAAGTGTTACATATGGTTGAACTCGTATTGAATAGGAAATTCCAATAATGACTGAATATACAGGGTGATTAATTTGAAAAACCAAAGTGACTGAAAAAATACCGGTGTTACTTCCGAATATTTCTCTGTAGCATATGTCGCTGGTGTTAGAAGAATTGGGTTCTTTTGTAGAAATAACTAACGAGTCATAGGTAGTAGAAAAAGAAGTGTTTTTAATTTACTATTTTCACTGAAGTAAATACATAGTGGTTGATTCCATTTAGATATAATAATTTTCTTATCTTCACTAAACAGTTTTAAATATTTACACTTTTAGTTCATCACAATTTGATTAACTAATGCAGTTGAATTTTTAGTTACCAACTTGAAAACATTTGTTTGTAGAATTTCTTATGCCATAATAATTGTAGAAGATATAACTTGCACCAGAAAATAAACTGCATTAAACGCTTGTAAAAATGTAGAAAGTAATGTGCCGTCGGCAGAAGCACCTGGCAAAGACAACTGTTAGCGATGATGGCAAAAAATCAACTGAACTCTTTGGTGGCAATAAGACAACTGATCTCGTTTGTGGCAATAAGACAACTACTGAATGATGGCAAACATACCACTCAACTGCTCGCGTCGAGCTCAACCTAATATATACTGTTGGGACGAAATGAGTGTCCGGGGCATAGTTCACGCATCTATTCGGTTTCAACCAATGAAAACATCATGACATAATGAAATACGTCATTTGTGCTTCGTTAACTATGCGCCGGACACTCATTTTGTTAAAATGCATCGCTGTGCACCTAAAAACACAGGTGTTCGACGTTCGGTATTCTGAGAAAAATGCTATTTATAGTTTTATGACTTCACATTATATTAGGGTAAAAAGCAGTCGAACTATTTAAGAATTGTTTATTTATTTAGTAGGTGTAAAATATTAATTTGTTGATGTTTTTACTGGTGAAATTGTAGAATTTAACCAGTGACTAATAATATAAGAAAAATTACAAATCTGGCAACATTGCAAATATCAAATCTGGAATCTCCGTATCCTCTAATAGGTGCACCCCAAATTTTGTACAATTAGGACTATTACTTTACGAGATAATTGACCGTTTCCAGAGATTTAATTTAGTTCGCAAACTTGCCGTATTTGTAAAATTACATTAATTATTCCCAGTCTCACTCGACCATTCACTGTTGCGTTCTAATTAACAGTGCTGTTCCTAAAGTGGCGCTGGGAAACAGTAACAAAGCCTACACAGAACACGAGGCTAATGACCTTAGCAGTCGATGCCGATGACACCAAATAAAAAAAAATTATTCCCAGTTTTAAAATAAAACAATTCATTAACTCGAAACACTAAAACATTTGTTGCTATAATGGTATTTTTTCAAATGAATTTGCTGTTTTTGCCGCTTTGCAGATTCTTTAGGCTCTTTTTTGTTGCTAAAAAATTATCGGTTTTCTTTCTTCACGTTTAAATTAAAGTACTCGTATTTGCTAGATACCTGTCTTATGATTAGTGTTTCAGTGTCATTGTCATTGTGAACATTACATTTATCAATTATGGTGTGCTCTGCAATTGCAGAAAGAGTGGACATTATTGGGTTTTTTAAAAAACAATGAGTGTGGAAATTGGGTCGTGGAGCAGTTTAACCAACGGCATCCTAATAAACATATCTCCGGGAAATTTGTTCGCGAATTGGTGGAAAATTTCGCGAAACAGGTTCGGTCTACAACAAAAAGAGGAACCTTGAAAATCCAGTGTTAAATGAACCTACGGAGATAGCAGTATTGGGACAAGTTATAGTTTAGGATCCGTAAGTAAGGTCGACCTTTATCCATCTGTTTAATGGGTAAAAGTTTTTTCTTAATAAATAGAATATGTTTTTAAATATACCGCAAATGGGTTGCCTTACTTTCCTTTCTGTGTACAGTTATGGAAAGTATAGGAATCATGATAAAAGTTGCTTATGATGCCATTCTCTATTATTTTCTCCCTATACATGATTTCTCTAAAATGAACCTAATTCGAGATATTTAAGGAAAAGTGCAAATTTCGAATTTTAAAGATAACTCAAAAACGGATGAAGAGAAAAATACCAAATTTTAAACTATAGCTTTAATCCATCCTGCGGTGAGTTGATTAAAATTTGGGCATATTTGAAGCATCTGGGGAATACTTTACAGGGTGTAGTTTTTTTTTACTTTAAGAAAATAAATAGTAATAAACAGATGGGTGAAGGATCTTAGACCATTACAGTGGATAGTACGCTGAGTACAAGACAATTGGCCACTGCGACGGGTGTATCTCGTACAAGAGTCAAAAAAAAATTTTCATCCTTATAAAATTCGCTTAGTGCAAGAACTAAATGAAGACGAATTCGATCGTCTCTTGCAATTTTTGCGAAATTATGAGTGAGCGAGCATTGAACAATAATAATTTCCTATTTAATGTGTGTTTTTAGGATAAGTGTTCTTTCTTCCTACACGGTTTAGTGAATCGCCACAATTGTCATTACTGGGCTGACAGCAATCCAAGGATTTTCCACGAGAAACACATACAACACCCCGAGAAGTTAAATGTATTGGCTGGTATTTTTGGAAATTTCATTGTAGGCCCTTTTTTCCTTCCTATAAATTTAACAGGCAATATGTACTTGGATTTACTACAAAATGCCATCGACCCAGCTCTAACAAATGTCATAGAGAAAGACCCTGCATACAGGAACTGATTTTCCAACAAGACGGAGCTTCTCCGCATTACTGGCTAAATGTGCGCAATTATTTAAAAGACACATTTCCAGAACCATGGATAGGACGAAGAGGCGCAACTGAGTGGCCACCTCGGTCACCCAAATTAAGTCCTTTAGATTTTTTTGTGGGGACACATAAAAAGCGTAGTTTACAAAACTGCACCTGGCACATTAGAAGAGTTGCGAAGAAGAATCATTAACTCATGTCGCGAAGAAACACCGCAAATGCTCCAAAATATACGGCGACGGTTTGAAGATAACTTGTATCACTATATTATGCAAGTTCGCGTGCAGCACTTCGAGCATTTACTTGACTAATACGGTAAGCATTGAATCGCTTTTTGCATTTTCCGTCAGACATTATTGTTTAACTTTCAAGGCTAAATAATTTTCTAAACGAGTGGCTCGATTTTCAAAAACTCAGCAGTGTTGTATAGGGAATGACAAGACCTTTTTAATGAGGATCGCTTAATCCCCCCTTCCCCTTTGCAAAAATTTGGAGAATGACACCCCTACTGAGGGGGTTGAAGGTTTTACTATGCCTTTTGCGTCAAAAGGTGTCCCCTTGACAAGCAAACTTGATGTGTTTTGGATTTCGCCGAAAAGTTCTTTTCCATCCTGTAATGACTTGCAGTACGTTTTCGATGGGCCACCCTGTATATTTATTTCGAGGGGTAAACCGCTGAGGAAGTCTGGTGTACAGACTCAAGAAAGTCCCTTGGAAATAAATGGAAGTCCAAGGAAGTTCTTTGAAGTTAGTGAGAAGTCTTGAAAGTCAGGAGGAAGTCCATAGAAGTCATGATGAAGTCAATGGAAGTCAATGGAAGTCATACGAAGTCCATGGAAGTCAGGGTGAAGTCCATGGAAGTCATGATGAAGTATATAGAAGTCATGTGAAGTCTATTAAGATTTCCTGAACGTGCGCATGCTCCTCGGTCATCAGGTGACTAAAATTATGTGGTGCCATGGGCGTACGCAAAAAATTATTATTTAAGTATATTATATATACATACACTAAGGAAAAAACAAATATAGAAGGGAGCACAATAATTTAAACAAAATTAACCTTATTTTAATATTATATCTTTATCAAAGAAGAGGATATATATTTATTCAACTATAAATAATTACTCCTAATAGTTATTGTATAACTCTACCTAACATAAATTTTTGTAGGTACCTTTTATTCAATTTATTTTGCTTTAATACGAAAAGAATTGTTAACATTAAAAAAAAAATAACAAATATATCAATTTCCAAAGTCTAAAGGTACAGAACAGAACAACTTTAAAGTGAAACACAATCGATATACAGGGTGTCAACTTAAAATCTTGCCACCCATAATATGCAGGATGTTTGCAAAAAGTATTTACAAAAACATACCACATAGGTCCCTTTACACTACAGGTCATTAAGAAATAAGCCAAGCTTAAAATGACATTAACAATGTCATTTTAAAGCTTAGTTTTTAATTACTAGTGGTGGCAATGGCTCTTATTTCTTGAACCAAAATAAGCCGATTTAAGTAAACTTACCTCAGTACAAAGATCGTTTCTTCTTTATAATTTTAAAACGGCTCATTCGATTCTGCTTAAATTTATTATGTTGACAGTTTTATTTGACAAAAAAGTGTATCAAAATAATTATTCACTAATATTAATCCTTTGGCGTAGAACTTGAATTTTTTTATTACTCGCACATTTAAAATTTAATAATTTAGAGTGTAGGTTTTAGAGAAAAATTTATTTACTAAAACGTGAATACAAATAAGAAATATGTATAGCGACCAAACTGAGCAACTTTGTACTGAGTTAAATTTACTTAAATCGGCTTATTTTGGTCCAAGGAATCTGTAGTATATTTTTGTAAAGACCTTTAATAAACACCCTGTATATTCCTTCCAGTAAATAGTATGAAAAATCGAAAAGACATGGTAATCTTATTTTCAAAGGGGACACTTTTAATGAATATTTTTAGCCTTCATGGTTTAAACCCCTAGAATTTATAAAATTCAGCAACATGACTATTCATTTGGGTAATTTTTATTTAAGCGCCCTCTAGCGGGATTAAAAAACTTACGTACTGTAAAGTGTGGCACTTTATTTGAAAGCTATTTTGATTAGGAATTTAATTCACAATATAACAAAACATAATTTTTTTAATATTATCTACATGAACTCTAATCATTGAAAAATGGTGCAGATTTCTAACGTATGGATATACAAAAATTATAATCTCATTGAACTAAAATAATAAATTTGCGCTGTACATAAATCGCTAATAAAAATATCGTTCAAATGAAGTGTCACACTTTACAAAACGTAACAGTTTTTTTATCCATTTAGAGGGCGCTAAAAAATCAACGAATTTAATAGTCATATTGTTGAATTCTCCATAAAATTACCATTCAAATGAAGGACAGACACATACTCTGACCAAATGAAAAAATCGTCGGCTTCGGTATGGTTATAACCTACCACTTTAGCATGCCAGAGAATCAATTGAAAATAGACGTTACTTTTAGTGTCGCCTTATATAATTTATTATTAATTGAATGATCACATTTTGTCAATTTTGTTTAAAATAAATTTCTGCTGTATCTACTTTAATAAAAAATTAGTAAGGATAAATACAACCTTTATTTTAGCTAAAAAAGTGTTAGTGACCTCTTCTTAGATAAACCCTCTGAGTGTAAACCCTTAGTTGTGATAATAAGAAATTTAGCGGTTCTGTTAATTTCACATCCTCATCTACGTAGACGTGGACTTTGTAATATACCTTTCCACATAACTTAATATCTTTTAGACTTATGATGGTTTAAGCCTTGAATTATCAAACTGATCAAATAAAACAGAATTAAACGAAGCAATCCTTTAGTTATTTATATTGTTCTGCTGAAAGTTTGTGGAAGTCACTGGAAGTAATCCTGAAGTCAAGTGAAGTCATCTGGAAGTCAGTTGAAGTCATCTGGAAGTCAGGTTAGTCAGTGGAAGTCATTTGGAAGTCATTGGAGTCATGTTTAAATTAGAGGAAGTCATCTGGAAGTCCAAGAAAATCCATAGAAGTCCGTAGAAGTCCACGGAAAGTAAGTAGAAGGCATGGAAGTTTGGAAGTCCGGTGTACAAAATTTTGGTAGCGGTTTACCCCTCGATTTATTTTTGTTGTATTTATAGAGAAATGTAATTAGGCTCATGTCTGTTTTTGAAATACATTTCATTTCATTGACTACCAAATTTTTACATTTTATTAAAATAGGCACTAAAATTGCTATCTGTAAAGTGGCTCTTTTAGGAGTGAATAAATAGTGGAGAAGTCGAAAGATGGAATGAACTTATTATTATTATGTGAGCACCTATTTTTTTATATATTTTTTAGCTAATTGGAGGATCGGTGAATTAAGTTTTTAGAATTAACAAAAAAATGCAAATGTCATAAACGTTTATAAAGAAAAACAAGACAATCTCAAAGCCACAAAATAATACGAACGACCGATTTCCTCCGGAAAACAACTGCTCCTTTGTGTAATACAACAGCAACCAATAGTTATATCCAAAGAAAAATGGTAGAGAGACAAAATTATCTCTGCTGTTTTCTTTGGGCATAATTTAATACCCGTTGTGCTATTAGCCAAAGGAGTAATTGTACTCCGAACTTTCAGTTTCTGTTGTTTTTCTTTATTTTACGTCTTGGTTACATTTGATTGGGGAATTATATTCCTTCCTCTTAATAGACGAATATAGAGTGATCCACAAAAATGTTTCTAAAATAAGCTTTGAAAAAGTTACGCATGTCTGAAGCAGATATTACATTACTTCTTCTTTTTTAAATTACAGTTTCTGTATCTGTTTCCGTTTCTGCTTTTGTCACGCATGGTCTACTTTAGAATCTTTTGTGGATCACACGTTATTTGCTTATACCTTGCTCTTTCCTCGGCCGCCAGTTTTTTCTTTTTTCTTCTATCGGAAAGCTCTTTATCGTCCGCTTTTTCTCCTCCGATCATGGCGGCCTTTAGCGCTCCAATTCTGGACACGATCTCCTCTTCAGACCACATCTCCTTTTTCTTGGTGCTGATTTCCATGTTCAGCTTTTTGATATTTTCGTCATACTCTTTTCTGATGGCTTCGATCTGTTTCAGGATGTTTTCTTTCTCGTTTTTCTCGTTTTCGTGCAGGTGTCTGAGCTTGTCCATTTCCTGTTGGTATTGCAAGAGTAGTTCGTCTCTTTTAAGGTTTAGATCGTTATCGACGACGGTGACGTTTTTATGAATTTGTTCTTCGGGCAGCATCGTTAGGTCTTCTACTTCTATATCGTTGTTTTGTTTGTTGCCCAACAAGTTTTTGAGTCGCGCTATTTCCTCTTGATATTGGCGAAGAATGGTGTCATTGGGGTCCTAAAACGATTGTTTTATTATTAATGCGGTAGAAATTTGTTAATATAGGAATCTTACTTCATTAACTATGGGTTTATTGTGAATATTTTTCGCTCTGTTTGCGTATCTCAGTGTCGACAGGGTCTCTATGTAATCGCGACTCGAAGGGCTAATACAAGCTATCATAAGAGTCCTTGTATTGCCCCCTAACGAATCCTAAAACAGTAAAAACACACAGGTTAAAAGAAACAAGGAGAACTGAAGATAATGATAAAGAATTCTGAAATATAGATTAAATATGAATTTACCTGCAATAATCTGGTAAGTTTCGAATCTCTGTACGGTATATGTTTCGCTTTTCCATCAACTAAAGCTGAAATTACATTTCCAAGGGCACTTAGTGATAAATTTATTTTAGTAGCTTCTTTCAGTCTTTCACCGGTAGCTCCCGTTTTGGTCTGTCGCTCTGACCCAGCCAAATCCACTAAATTTAATTTACCTACAACATAAAATTGTATTGTGTAAGCTGCAAAAAACGTTCCCATCCAGTTTGAGACGTGTCCAATTATGATTCACACCTATGTCTTTGTCTGATTTGTTCTTACCTACATTATTTATTATTTACTCACCTTTCCTAATACTTTCGTTATTATTTACATTACTAATTTGTTCTATGCTTATTGAAAAAATACTATGAGACCGCGAACTATTTTGGTTCATAAGTGTGGCACCGATCATTCTATTCTTCGAACCAATGTTAAGGTAACGTTCGCATTCTGATGCATTGTGTACTGGCAGTAACGATAAACCTAAAACATAACATTTAAATTTACGTAAGCATGCAATTTTACCTGAAAACAAAAAGGCAACCTAGCAAGATATGACAAATAAATTCATTTTACGCAGAATCCAAACGGTTAAATTTATTTAGTTAATTGTCATTACTTTTTGAGAAGCCAACAAATAGGGTTGCCGTTGCCACCTTTTTGAAAAGTGAAAAAAGGACTACGATGCTGACAGGGGCTCTGGTATACAAAAAGTCCTCATCCTTATACAGAACTTTCAAAAAATAAAAAAAAAGTCGTCGAGCTTAACAAAAAAAAATCCTCCTCGTCATTCAAACGAGCTTCTATAAAAAAGGTCCTCAGCTTATATATATTTTTGAACAAACCATGTCCCTTCCAAAAATATGTGCTGTAAAAAAGACATTTGCCGTAAAAAAAAGATATTTGCCGTAAAAAAGGACATTTCAAGCTATAAATAGTCACAAGGACAAAAAAAGTACTGTCCTTTTCAAAAAAGGGCAAGTGGCAACCCTACCACCAAGGCTCAAAATTGATTTCTTGGGCAGAACGGAGTAGAGTCCCGTTTTTACCTGATATAATATCAGTCAAAAATTTAGATGGCTGAGTAGAGTCCGGGGTCAGATTAAATCATTAAAGGATTAACTACCTAGATTACGAATTTAAATATTTAGTATTATCTATTATTAATATATATTTCAAGAACTACCTATTATTTGTTTGTGAACATGAAAAGTACATATTGATTGGTCCCCTTCTACATCCCCGAAAATAAAAATATTAAATTATGTCATTTGTTTATTACCGTTTTAGTTTAGTTTACAAACCGACAAGTGAATTAGATTAAATTATGAGTGCATCAAAGTGTATACTTAGGGAGAAAGGAAAGGAGCTTCTAGTCTTGGCTATATATAAATATCGTTTTCATAAAGAACTAACTGGTGGTATCAAACGTTGGGTGTGTTCGGTAAGTGGAAATAAAAGTGTACGGCCTATTTGAAGACAGAGGGAAAAACAAATATAATTGAAGTTGTTGACAACCATAACCACCCGCCACTTGATGAAAACATTCTTAATAGGAATGAAGTGAGTAATTCCTTGAAAAGAAAGGCTTCAGAAGATTTAAGTGAGAGACCTTTAAAATTCATTCACCGAGAACTGAAGAAGGGAGATGTCGAAACATTGACTAATTGCGATGTCAAATATATAAGAAACAATATATTTATACCACTCTCGAAGGAGCTTTCTACCAAAACTAACAACAACTCAACGAGAAGTTCACAACGTTCTTAATTTCTATCCTGTAATGACAAATCGGGGCGAAACTTTTCTTCTTGTAAACGACACAGAAAACAATATAATTATGTTCTCATCGAAATAGAATTTAGAGTTCTTGTGCAGTTTGAAATCCATTATGTGGATGATTTTTTCTTCAAATGTTCTCCATTCACGGATTAGCAGGCGACCATTATGAACCTCTAGTCTTTTTCGTACTTCCAAATAAACAAAAGAAAAGTTATATGTTGGCATTAATGTATGCAATACAAGAATGTCAAAAGATTGGTAAAATATTGGCACCAACAACAGTAGTGGCAGATTTTGAAGAGGCAATCCACCAAAGTGTGCTAGAAACTTGGGAGAAGACACGTATGGTTGGATGTAGATTTCATTTGGGTCAATCATGGTAAGTTATTGATAAATATTTTAATAACAGGGGTTAGTCCAATAAAGTTGTGCTAGGCTTTTATACAGTATGTCTGAAAGAGTTGGCAATATATGGGAAACTATTTTATTGTAAGTTTTACGAAAAAAAGTTATTCTTTATGAAAATCTCTGCTTTCGAAAATAATAATATTTCGGTATTCACCTTTGACATTAGATGCCCACAAATTGCAAAAGATTAATAGGAATATTATGACCACTTAAATTTTGCAAATTTTAGTTGTAAAACACGTTATTTTTTAACTTATTTAACAAGTCAACACACCTCAAATGCTTATTTGTTGATTTGAAATATTTTAGCAATGAACTTAAATCAGTAATAAATAAGTAATACCCAACAGAATAATGTATTTTCTACTGTAATACACAAAAATAATTTAAAATCTAGGTGGCTCTGACAATGACATTTCTCTTGCCAAAAGTCATTCTAGTAAAAGCTTTCGAGAAATAAATAATACATCAATAAAGTTTTCGATATTGTAAAAAATAAAGGTACTTTACTCTTGTATCAAATTCATATTTTTTGACAAACCTCGTATACGATTTAAAAAATTTACATCTGACATTTGCGTTTTACTTTATGGGCCACGCACAAATTTTTATAAAGACAAAATTTTTTTCGTAAAATTACAAATAAAAAAGTTTCTCATATGTTGCCAACTTTTTCAGACATACTGCAGATAATCGCAAAAATATAAAAACAGTATGATTTTTTTCAAGGTTGCTTGGGGATTGTCTTCTGAGTATCTAAACAAAATATTACACTCAAACTCCTGGTACGAATTGCGCTATAAGGGTGGTTTCATAAACATTTTTTAGAGCAAATTACCCTTTATAAAAGTTGTAAAAAATTATGAAACCAATCGTAGAGCGTGCGAAATTTTGGTCAACCCTAAAAAATATATATTTCAATGCTGTCAATTGACTAAATGCAACATGCACTTTTCAGGTGGCGAAAAAATACTACTGCATACAAAGATAAGGATTCAGAAGTTGGAAAATTTTTGAGAAACTGTTTTGGTTTGCCGTTTCTTAATTCAGCAGATGTTGGAAATTGTTTTGCTATTGATTTGATTGCTTCTCAACCCAGCAATTCCCAACTTATGTTATTTGCAGATTATCTTGTAGATACTTATATAACAGAATCGTCCAAATTTCCACCATACTGAAAATACAAGTAGTGTAAAAAGAACTACAAATGCCTGCGAAAGTTTTCATTCACGGTTTAATTCGTCATTTTACCATTCACATCCTTATATTTTTCAATTTATTACAATTTTAATAGATTTTCAAAGTGATACATATACAGTGAGCATCATAAATCTTACCCCCCTATCTAAGACGTATCTAAGTAAGACTTTTTGCTATTAGATAAGGTCACTGTTAGTTAAGTTGCTTTCATATTTGTAATGTTTTGTTATTTTTAAACATTAATAAATCAACACGTAATGCAGCAAATTTCAAAATTTTTTGCTCGGTTGAATAGAGAATAAACCCCCCTTTCAAATGAGCTCACTCACCACCCCATACCATTTAAATTTTTCGAAAGCGTTGCTCCCTTCCAGTAAGGGATGAAATTAAGGGTAAACTATTCATACAAAAATGTACATTGTAGAAATCAAAAATCGACGTGTCTCGGCGATTTTCCAAGACTCCAGTAGCGAGTTAGTTAGGGGGGTAAGACTTATGATGCTCACTGTATAAAGATTAGGACAGCGTAACAAAATGAAATGGAAATATACTCTGCAAAAACTATAGAAAACAATCAATTTTTGGATGACAAGATATGCCAATTAAAAAATCGGGATATAACAAACTTGGAATTTATTAAGGTAGTTGAGAATCGATTTAAAATGTAAAAAAAGTTTTCGGAACACCCTAATTTTGCATTTTGTGTAAATAAAAAATAAATAACTTTTATTTTGTGTTATAAATATTTTAAGGTGCTGTGTATGATTAATAAATATATTTTTTATCTATCTGGTTTACTTTATTACCATTGTAACCTACCGCACCTTAATAATTTATTAATTCCATTTATTAAATACAATATTACATTCTTTTAAATTCAAAATGCTTCATTTAACGAAAAATCTCCCAGATAATTAAATCTTATTTACGACACCTAATAAATAATATCTATAACCACGTCCATAAAAGATGTACGTGGCTGAGTTCCTCGAGAAAGAAAACACCATAAAGCGTATTTCTGTTCACGAAGTAATTATCATTAAAACACTTAACTCGCTTATATTTCTAGTTTCGATTTCTAGACCGATTTCGACAATATTTCAATACATAAAGCTTTCAAAACAAGTAATAAATAACCCATCCCCTGCACACACAGTATTTCTATGAGAACTAAAACGATAGAGACGTCACAGAAACGATTAAACTGTGTATAAAAAGTCTGACGAAAAGGAGCTCGGGTCATTCATTTTCAATTATTTGATGTGCAAACATTCATTTATTATTTGTATCCAGTTATATTTCGAGTTCAGTAATCAGTACCTTTCCTAAAACGCTCTTCCTAAACGACGTCTATCCTACAATACCTCCTATCCCCGAAGGTGTCAATGTCTCGATGCCCAACGTTGACGATGCCCCTACTCCCTACGTCTCGAACGCTGTCACATTCCTCACCATATAAGTATTTCCTACCGTACACTCATTTCGGCGCTCAACGTCCCACGCCTTATTTCCGACGCTTGCCGTCCCTAAATATTTCCTTCATAATATCACGTCCCGCACCACCTACATAATTCTGCCGTATGTCTGTCCCAATACAATACCATATTAAATACCTTCCTTTCCACCACGACGCTAGGCGTCTCGACGATGGGCACCTCGACGCCTAACCCTGCGACGTACCTACATCGACGCCGTCACAACGATAGATGAAATTAGTACATAACTAATGTCTGTATTTTCAGTGGTGAGTCAAAAGATTTATGTACCTTTCTTTGAGGTATCACCCGGGTTTCGTTTAAGGGCAGGCTTGACATTTGCTGTAAAATATTATCAATAAACCACATGGCCTTCGGGTCATACACCCCGAAAGACAGGATAGACATCTGTGTTCGATGGGTGAAATTTTGAGTATTTTAATAGAAATTATAAAAATCAATATTAAGAAATATACAGGGTTATATTAAGTTATTCCAATAGAAATTATAATAATCAATATTAAAACATATACAGGGTTGTATTAAGTTAACTCAATAGAAATTATAAAAATCAATATTTTAGAAATATACAGGGATGTGCTATCTTGGGTAAATTGTACAAACCAAGATGGTAAAATGTAATAGTAAGTTAACCAACTGGCGAATACGCTGTTCGTTAGCTCAAGGGGGACACCTATACGCTAAGCAACCCGTTCTACAAGGTTTGAAACAAAGTATATGTGAAATCAACATAGTAAGGTAATCAACTGGCGAATTGGCGCTGTTTGTTACTTCCGTTGGTCATCACCTCTATACTCATCGTAATATTTACCTAAGAGGGTGCAACCTGTATATATCTACAATAGAATCAAATCAACATCAACTCAATAGTTAATCAACTGGCGAATTGGCGCTGTTCGTTAACTTCATTGGTCATCAACCTAAATAAGAATATAAACAACACAATAGTTAATCAACTGGCGAATTGGTGCTGTTCGTTAACTCCGTTGGTCATCAACCTAAATAAGAATATAAACATAAACACAGTAGTTAATCAACTGGCGAATTGACGCTGTTCGTTAACTCCGTTGGTCATCAACCTAAATAAAATATATATTGATAGCAAATGAATATGGTCTGCGTTTGAACGGGACTCAAGTGAGATCTTAGTAAATAGTACCAATTGTAATATGCTTTGCTAATTGTTGCATCAAATTTAAGTATGACAAATATAAAAGAGTTTAAAACTGAATTTGTATGTTTTATTTATCAATTTGCATCGAATTCTGGTTTACCTTAATTAACATTATCACAACGTGGGTATACAAATTATCAATTAATTAACTAGACGATCACTTTTACTACTAGAGGAAAAAAGGCCAAGTACAGTAAGTATAGAATTTGAAATAAAGTAAATCTTGTGAGGTAAATAATAACAGTTCAAAGAGAGTAAAGTAAAATAACAAGAACAAATCAAAAAAAGGGGGCCTGGGGGGTGGCCGTCACACCATATTTCCTTAAAAAGTCTAATTTAAAAAAGAAATAAAATAAAATAAAATAATTCTGCTACCTGCATTAACTACTATTTATATGGCTACCTGAGATAATGAGCTTCGGACTCTATTCAACCATTTCCCGGACTCTACTCGGACATCAGTCAGAGGGGTCCAGAGAAGTCGGGACTCTACTCGAGATCACCGGATTTCTTACCTGGTACAGTAACACCTTCATTGGGAGTTTCTTTTAAAACTAAATTAGATAATGATTTATCACTTGGCAATAATAAGTCTCTGAAACATAATATACTGGTTTATAAAAAGAAATATAATAGTGAAATCTCTTTTATATATTATTTGCGGTTCTATATTTTTTAATGTATTCCTTATTTTATTTATTAATTCCTTGAAACTAGGACTTTGTCGCTACGGCAAATTCTGTTTGTTTTTCACAATAGTAATAGAGACTTTAGAGTTTCTAATACTAAAATAAACTCTTGTGAAAATAGTAAAAACCTATATGTCAAATTCAGTGACACAACGGTTTATTTTTGTTAAAAGTTTGGTTAGAAGTTAAGTGTCATTAATAGTCATTGTTACTAATATGACGTAATGTAATGCCACCGGTAATACATAGACATAATTTTAATGGCGGTCTCTTCATAATTTTGCAATGGCTTAATAAACAATATTAACCTTAAACATAATTACCTTATTTGCTCGTTGTATATTTCGAGATAGCTTACTAAAGCTAAATATTTCACGCCAGTCGTAACAGAAATTGCTTCAAAGATGTGTTCAAAGGTTCTAGATATTACCCCCTTTTGGGGACTATTTTCCGATTTAATTCCTTCCATCGTAAAGGATTTACCACAGCCGGTTTGGCCATAAACGAAAATTGTAGCGTTATAGCCTTCTAGTACGCTCTAAAAAATGTATTACATTATATTTGTAATTTGTTACAGTTCTAGACTTCTTCAACTAATTACTGATATTAAAGAATATCTTCAGTATAATCTATGACGTAAATTATTATGTTATAGGGTGATTTAAAACTTACTGAAAATGGAATTTTTATTTTCGGATAATTTCGTGTACGATCGAGTATATGTATCTGTAACGTGTGGAGGGTGGGTTACCCCACGGCACTTAGGCCTCGTTAGGCCCATTGTGCATCCTTTTGAGAAGATAGGCACCTTCTAGCTCGTGAGCCAGCCTACAGATTTAATGTAGTTGACAACGTCGCCAAGAGGTGCTTCTCTTATATCAGCCGGGGTTAGCCGATACTCGCCGAACACAAATCTTCTAATAAATGAGAGCGTCGAGCAATCACAAAGGATATGCTCGATGGTCTCATCTTCTTTTTCGCACCCTCTGCAGAGTGCGGATTCTGACAGCCCCATAATATGGAGATGCTTTCGTACTTGGCAATAACCAGTCAGAATGCCTGTGACTAGGCTCAGATTCTGTCTAGTCATAGTCAAGTATTTGTTTGCTGCAGCGTTGTCAGGATAACTTAAGAGCTCCCTGGCAACTCTACAGTTTCTTGTTTTACCCCATCTTTCCTTGAATTTCACAAGGGAATGTTCTTTGATTAGGTCTGTCACTGCCGATTTTGTCAGGCCAATAGAAGGGTCAGGTCCAAAAAATATTTGGTTAACTGCTTTCTTGGCTAGTGAATCAGCAAGACGGTTACCTTTCGATGTGGTGTGAGCTTTAATCCATCTTAAGGTGAACACGTTGTTGATGGATACTTCGGCCAAAGCTTCGTGCCATTCTAGTACTAACCCTGAATACATTCGTGGTCTGTTCAGGGTGAGTAGTGCTTGTCTGCTATCTGTATAGATGAGCATGTTCCTTCCAGTAATATTGTTTCTGGTTATTTCTTTTGCTGCTATGAGAATCCCCATTAGCTCAGTTTGAACTACATTGGCACTATTCCTCACAGCCCATTTTATGTTTAGGTTTAAGAATCTGGAGTATATTCCACATCCTGAAACTTGTTTTGTTTTAGAACCGTTGGTGTAGATATGAATCGTACCTGAGACTTCCGGCTCTTCTATTTGTTATATTATAACTTTATATGGATTATGAAAGATATATTTCGGTGAGATGGAGTCCATGTTCGCTTGAAGCAGTGGGAGCGTATCCAGCGCCTCCTGCCAAAAGTGACGTCTCGCCACACCAGATCCTACATCAGGTTCTATTCCGACCATGCGGAGGCGAGTCATTGTCGTCAGAGCAACCTCCTTGATGTAAATATCAAGGGGAGTGAGACTAAGAATGATTTCCATCGCTCTAGTCGGTGTTGTTTTCATGGCTCCTGTTATTTTGAGACATGCTGTTTTTTGAATTTGTTCTAGTTTACGTATAGCTGTTAATTTTTGGGTTTTCGGTACCCATACAACTGCACCGTATGTTAGCATAGGTCTTATGTGTAAGTCCATGCGACGATTCTGGGGGAGAAGCCCCAGGGGCGCCCCACGGTTCGGCGGCATTGTTCATAAGCGATGTATGCTCTTTTAACTCTGTTTTCTAAATGCGAGTTCCATGTTAACTTGCTGTCAAAGGTGAGACCTTGGTACGATCGAGTAATTCAGTGTTCTACAAAATGGACGTATATCTTAAAATACATACACAATGAATATGTGAAAGTAAAAAATAATATAAAATGTTTTATTTACGGCAATGTTATACTATTATTAAAGCACTTATGTACATATAATTGACTAACAACACGGTGATCTATATGTGTAGCATAATCAAATATGGGATTTTCCAAAAGCGATATTTCCTCAACAGTAGTGTATATAAATAAACGCTCTGCTTTAATGCCATATTAAATATTTGGGAAGGCCTACTCCCGATTTAAAACTTACTTAGGTAGACAAATTTCAAAATATCTCTTATACTCTTATACAAGACGATTTTATGATAAAACCAAGTGGATATGTGTTTTAACGAATTAAACAATGTTTTAATGAATTTAGAAGATAAATGTTACGAAACAATTATTTGTACGTGTGCTAAATTAGAGGATCACCTAAAGTGCTTTGGTAAGTTTTGATTAATTTTATATATATTCAAAAGTAGCCCCCTCTCATAGATAAGGCCACGAACCGCCTCTGGAATACCTACATGCAATAAAGGCACCAAAAACTCTACCTCTGGATTGGTAAGAGCAACGATTTTAATTCTTTATATCTGTAATTATCAAGTTTTATATCTCGTATCTCAAAAACAGATCATAGCAAGTTTATAACGAATTTTCAATAATATATGTATCCCACATGATTCGATAAAATAAAAAATTTAATAAAAATTGCAGTCATTAGTAACTTTTCTTATCAATTCTAAAATAGGTCAGTAACATTGTTTTAAGGTTATTACTGTTACTTTTAATCACGTGGGGGATACTGATATTGTTTAAACCTTTCTATAGTTTTTACTTTATTAATAAACTAAAAATAAAGGTAATGTAAAAAGTTAACCGACATTTTAAAATATAGAGCGAGGAAGAAAAATACATTTTTCTTGGATTTCCTCGTTATATAGCTTTTGAATTTTGAATGATTCTATATTTTATGGTTTATAGACTATTATATCTTTAAAAATTTGAGGTCTATTATTAACACGCGATTAAAAACAGGTAAAATTTTCAGTAATTTTGAATCATCCTGTAACTAATAATAATTTACGTCATAAATTATGCTGAAAATATTCTTTGATATCAGTTCAGGAAGCCAACAACTGTCAAATACCAAAAATAATTCAGGAAATTTCACCGAAATCCATTTCTACTCCAGTAATTACGTGCTGTATAATATTACCTTTAGTTGGAAAAATTTTGCGACAGTTTTGATATTTAGCGATTTGGTGTATTTTGAACTGCTCTTTTTGATTTTTTATTTTGCCACCTCGTAATTTTGCCGCCGTCGCCGCCATATTGTAATAAATTGAGAGAAAAGAAGTTTTTTCAAGATATCTTGTTACTAGTTGCTTTTACAGCAAAATGACTCCAGTATTTATTGACATAAGTTCTTTCATTGCAGGAAAGGAGAATGTTGGGAAAACCAATCCATTAATTAATTTTTTTACATCATTGTTATCACGATTAATCCGGGAACTTCTAAATTCAACATGCTGTTTCGAAGTGCTAAACTCTTTTCAACCGCGTCACAAATATTGTGCTAGAATGACATTCCCATAGTCCACCCAGAAAGTACGCTCTCCTGGACTCCCCGCCCACGAATTAGTCTACCTACGGTTGTCATCGTTCGCATTAATGATTTCTCAATAACCATGTCTGACCATGTGCCACACCAAAATTTGTCAGAACGTCTCCATCTGTAAAAGACCTGAATTCTGTAGGATTCATCTTTTCTTTTAAACTATACATATCCTGTAAATATTAATGGCCACAATTAGCGTACCTAAAATGACCACTGGCATGAAAATAGGACAACATTTACTGGATACTATTAAGATGAAGGTCCCAGTTTCCGCTTCTTTCGGCCTTAATAAATTGTTTCATAATTGATACCATGCGAAAGTAATAAACCCATAATTTAGCAGTTGGACCATATTACTAGATAATTTTTAAATTTTGAAGCTAATTCTTTGACGCATTCTTCTTGGTCTGCTCCAAGTATTACCGACTTGTCGAAATCGCATAGAATTGCTTCCTGCGTGTTGGTCTGGTGATAAATCAATTTCCTGCATGATCAATTTTGCAAGATGGACACATGTGCTCTGCACGGACGAAAGTATGCATGACCTGCATTGGGATTCTCATCTTTCAATACGGCACGTGTTAAGACGACTATCTTTGTTCCAACAGAATGCGATTCTTATATAATGTCTCTCTCTATTTGATTTGTTACGTGTTGAGTTCGCACATAAGAATTCCTGTCCAGATAACATCTTTTCAAGTGAGTTCGGTACAAAAATTGTACTTGGAAGCTCGATTAATCCACTACCATTCATATTATACCTACCCTATGGCTCCCATGAACGACCTCAATTAAAAATCTGTTTCTTTACAATTTATTGCAATATGGCGGCGACAGCGGCAAAGATACGAGGTGGCAAAATACAAATTCGAAAAAGCAGCTCAAAAAACGTAGAATCACAAAATATCAAAACTTCCGCAAATTTTTCTAGGTTAATTTACGTAGTTACTGAACTATTCTGGCGGTTGCTTGCTCCTGTATATTTTTGTTAGTGTATTATTGATTTTACTTACCTCAATTAAGGGGTAACAAATATCGTTATAAATCACCTCTGTCGTGGAATCTTGACCGTAGGTCGAGTCGAAAGTAAATTGTTTTGGAATAGACGGTCCTTCGTTGGGATCCCATGTTTCTACAACGCAATCGTGTATCTTCACGACACACTGAAAATTAAAACAAAATTACTTACCGGATTACAAAATATATTTGGATTGACATTTTGAAGGGTCTTCCTCAAAGATTTTTTTTGCACAGATCTGTACTGTTTATATATTTTTTGAAATCTCCTCTCATGTATCATACTATTATAAATGTTATTACCATTTTGCAATGAACTGTACCTAATTTAGAAATTTTTACGGTCCTGTTCAGTTTCACAGTGCCTCAGGAGTTCCCAAATTTTTAATCAATTGATTTTCAAGAAGATCGTTAGTAATAGACACAGAAAATGGCATCCATAATATCCTGATTTAAATCCAATTGATTTTTTTAAGTTTTCTTAATGATAGTGTATATCACGTAATTCCTTAAAATATTCTACAATTGAGGCACATGAAATTCTAGAGGCAATTAATAATATGATTTTTTTAAATTTTTATTTGAGGGAGGCGCTTTAATGACGAAATATTTTAAAAATGTAAGCAAGCTATATTAAGAGGCATTTGAACTTCAACAAAAAAGCTTAATACATTTTTCAATCTTTCAAAAAAAAGTATATAAAAAAATCGAAAGCAGCAATTTCGATACAATTGTTAACGAAAGCCCTATAGTGTTTGATTAAATTTTCACTACCCTGTAAATTATACCTTGCAATTGAGTTGGGTTTCTGTTTTGTTCATAGGCCGACATCTTACTATGACTTTAACGTTTTCTGCCATAACCGTCGTTAGCAGTCATCTGAAATAGAAAAATATATAATTAGGTACATGGCAAAAAAAAATAAAATTTGTTGTGATTAATTATCAAATGGGACCTAAAGGGAAGGTATTCAGCAGAGGAGGAATTGAAACAAGATTCAACACAGTTGACCTACTCTTCATGAACCCATGTTGATATTGTGATATTTAACCCAAAAGATATCATGATAAGTACGTATAATAATAGAGTTTATTCAATTTTTGTTTTACATATAATATTACATATTTGTATAAAATTTATTTGAATAACCTACGAATCATCACAGAAGAGGTTTAGTTTGTATTGTGATGCTATACAAAGTTTATATATCCTTAATCCTAATCTTAATTACTAATAATAATTTCTAATTTTATTTCTATTAATAATTTCTAATAAATATTTTAATGCTAATTTAAAAGCTAATTGCAGTCTCGAAATGGTGTAATTAGGTGTAATGTCATAATCGGGTGTAATGTAATAATCTTGTTATGATCTTGTTATAAACTTAATTTTAGGTAATGTCATAATCAAGTGTAACTGTTAAAATCTGGTAAAATGTCAATATGTTGAAAGTATATGAGTTTTCATAAATGGTCATAATTAATTATATATTAGGTCTATTGGTTTAAACGCTTTAATTAATGCAGAAACTTATAAAAACATAAACTATAAAAAACTAAATAACTTATTAAGCAACGAAAAATGGAATGACGTGATCGACGAGACCGACTTCAGATTTCATTCGATAATTTTATCAGGAAATTTATAAAATATGTTCAAAAATGTACTAAAATAAAAACGAAAAAACGTAAAGTCCATAAGTTAAAACAGCTCTAATTACTTCAATCCATACAAGAGACTCATTAAAGAAAAAACTAACTAAAAGCTGTACACCTGAACGGGAGGCATACTATAAAGAATATAGAAACAGTCTTAATTCACTACTAAGAAGAACTAAAAATGATTACTACAAAAACAAACTTGGTGAAGCAAACAATAACTGTAAAAAAATTTGGGAAATTATAAATGAAGTAACTAACAGTAAAAATAAGTCGCGCATTGCAAATACTAATATTACTAATGAAAACGGTAATATTATCAAGAATAATGATGAAAAGGCAAACATTTTTAATGACTTTTTTATAAATCTAGGTGACAATATGGCTAGAACCATAAAAAAAAACCGATCTGCCTCACAATTTTCTAAATGATATTGTCTTGGAGTCATCATTCTTTATAGAACCTGTGACAACAGAACTAATTATACTAATTAATAAACTAAAAAACAGTTGTTCTCCCGGACCAGACGAAATTAGTAGTCAACTCATCAAACATATCCATACAAACATATTGTATCCATTGACTCATATCATAAACCTTTGTTTTACCCGTGGAAAAATACCTGTAAAATGAAAGGAATCAGTAGTTACGCCTATTTATAAAACCGGGGACCATAGTAAACTCACGAATTACAGACGTATCTCAGTGATAAATAACTTTGCGAAGTTATTCGAAAAAGCTCTTAAAAAAAGATTAATAAATTTTTTAGAACACAATCAAATTATAACTCCAAATCAGTTTGGTTTTCTTAAAAATTGTAGTACTGAGGATGCCGCGTTTGATCTCTATCAATCAGTTGCGAGGACCTTGGACGGATCAATGAAGTGCCTGGCGGTATTTCTTGATCTGACCAAGGCTTTCGACACAGTCGATCATAACAAACTTATTGTCAAGTTGAATAACTATGGTATTAGGGGTATTGCTCTGGAACTTTTTAAAGACTTATCTAACAAATAGGAAACAGCGTGTAAAAATTGAAAATAAGTTAAGCTCCGAATCAACTGTAAAAATAGGCGTACCGCAAGGGACAGTGCTCGGACCAATATTATTCTTGTTATATATAAACAGCATCTCCAAAATCAAAAACTTCGAGGGAAAACTAGTTTGTTACGCAGACGACACTGCCTTAATAATAATGGGAAAATCATGGAAAGAAGTGAAAACAACTACGGAAGCATGTATAAAAAAATTAAAAATCTGGTTAGACTACAACTTACTTAGTCTAAATATTGGAAAAACTAAATACGTTGCATTTTCTCCAACAGTCACCGATCAGCCTCTAATCCAAATTAAATTACATAATTATAAATGTACAAATATACTTTGTAATTGTCCCTTAATTCAAAAAACAGAAGTAATAAAATATTTAGGTATTATGATTGACCAACATGTAAGATGGACAGAACATATTCATTATCTTAATAAACGCCTTCGGCCCTAATTCACAAATTCTATAGGGAAAATTTAATTATGATATACAATTCACTAGCCGAATCATTGTTAAGATATTGTATAACAGTTTGGGGAGGGACTTTTACAACTTCTCTGCAGACATTACAGACTACACAAAATACTCTTTTAAAAATTATATTTTGTAAAAATAGACTATTTCCAACAATTTCATTATATCAGGATACAAATTTACTAAAAGTGAGACAAATATACACCTTTCAGTGTCTTCTAAGGGTGTACCTCAAACAAGCAAACTTCGCAAAAAGAACTACATTTACAAGGGCAGCAACTAATTTAAATATAAACATAGACTTTTTCTACAAAACTGTAACCCAAAGATCTTTTTTCTACTTTGGACCTAAACTGTTCAACTTGGTTCCTTCACGTTTAAAAGAAATAAATAAAATTTCTACATTTAAAAAACAAATTAAAACTTTGATCTTGACAAATCCTCAAGTATTTGAAATTTTTTAAATTATTAAAATTAACTTCAAAATTACTAAATTTTAATTTAGTTCGCATTGCCTTATCTTTCTCTCTGACTGTGCCTCCCACTTTCTCACTGAATACTCTATCTATTATAATATTTTTTTTTTAATTCACTTAGTTAGCTTCTTCATGTGGAAATGGACATAACAGGCATAAGTGCCTAGGTCACTCCACCATTGAGGAAGCTACCTAAATATATATTATAAATGTAATATTGTAACAATCTGTTATAAGGTAGAAAAATAAATAAATAAAATAAAATAAAAATTCACAAATTTAGGAAAAATTGTTCTGTCGTTTTCTCCTATCCATTTTTTTAATTTTATATTTAAAGTTTTTGTATCGTTTTATATTTCATATTTCTTCCGGTATTTTTGAAAATATTATAGGTGCTAGATAAGAACAACATCTTTGACCTGCAGTTTTTTCGCATCTTGGTGTTATAAATGCTTTTCTTTTAATTCTCGTTTCATACTTATGAGCAATGGGCTTCAGTTTAATTTTATTTTATTTCCTAAATAATAATATTCTCAAACAGAAAATTTGTCGAATATCAAACAGCCCTAATAATTTAAATAAGTAGTTTGTTGGGTAAGTATTATTTTTATGAACCATTTTTGAATAATTTACAAATTTTTTAGATAAAAGTTACTTACGCCACCCCATCCTATGATTCCATAACTTAGCTGAAATTGTATTAGCCCATGATAAAGCATCTTAAGATGAGCTTCAGTTAAAACTTTTTTAAGGTATCTAAATTTCTCTAACATGCCCCTTAATTTTTGTATGACCGATTTATGTAACGGTTGGAACCGTTTTCGTTATTTAAACATAACCTCAATACTAAATAACACATGATAATACATTTTATGTAATATATATTATTTTGTTTTGAATTAGATATTATGCTTTACTATATTTAAATAAGTTAAATAAGACTTTTCCTTTTCAAATTAATGTTAGTCTCTGTGAAACTATTCACTTAATAGTTTAAATTGTTCAATTATTAGTTAAAAGCATTTTATCTGGTTCCTATATAAATTTCCTAGTTCCTTTCGTAATGTTACCTTTTCCTTGTAGCCTGGCTATATCTAGACTGTTTAGAAGTTTAGTTCAAGCTGTATCGAAGAAGTTAATTTCGAGTCATATCTAAGAAGTTTAATAAAACTGTTTATGGTGATTTCTATCAAGAGGTTTAGTTCAAGCTGCATCTAAAGAAGTATGAGATTTGAGTTTATGAAGATTGATACCTAAGAGTTTGGTGCTGTCCGAAGAGTATCGTTCGAGTCCCTTTAAAGAAGGCCTAGAATACCGTGCAAATTATCCCTCCTTGTATACTACCTACTGTTACAACAGATAAGTTTTTACTTCAATAAATCATCTAAATTTGAATTAGAATTTGTTGCTACCTTATCTGAAGCTTTGTTTAATTATAATATCTTAATGGTTAGTGATTTTCTATATTTTTATCACTAATCGATAGTCAAGTTTAGTAAGTTTTAAATCTAGTGGCGCCCAATATTCTTTTTCAAAGTAATACGAGTTATTTAATAACCTGACCCACTCCCAAAATCATTAGAGCTTAAAACACTATAAAAAAATAGATAAAACAACAAGTATCATATTACAATATGTAGATCCCATCTTAAATGTCTATCAACTATTATGCCTAAATATTTAACTGATGTAGCGGCTGGAATCTTAGTAAACTGATCTATTTCTAATGTATCGAAGTAAGGTAAATTATTTTCATATGATGTAAATGGAAAATATTGCGTGTTTTCAATATTTAAAGTAAAAAGATTGTGTTGAAACAATAATTTTATTTTCTTAAAATCCTTTTCCGTTTGACTTTTTAAATAACTCCAATTCGAGTACTCGTAAAGAATTGCAGTGTCGTCTGCGAAACTGATAATCTTTCCTGTGGTGTTGAGCTTCAACAAACTATTTATATATAACATGAATAATAATGGGCCCAAAACTGTGCCCTGAGGAACACCACAAGAGACCAATTCAGGCTCACTGACACTATCAATTTCCACATATTGGACTCGTCCCGAATGATAACTTGATATTAATTCAAACGCTTTGTTTCCTTTTAAATATTGTTGCGTTTGAATAACATTTAATATCTTAAGACAAATTATTAAAAGCCTGTACACCTTTAAAAACACTGAATTTTGTGTATATTTTTTCGTGACCTTATAAACTCTAAAATTTTTCTTATTTCGTGTATTGTGTTCATGAACATCCTGATTATAACTTAAAATATTTTGTAAATATACTGAGGAGATTCTTGATTTAATCTTAAATATAAATAGCAGGGAATAGAATAGCAAATATTTTTTAACAGGCAATCTCGAACAGCTTTGTATTATCCTCATACCTCTATTCTGCAACTTTTACAATCGTTGCAACTCATTCTGGTTAAACAAATACAATATAGTGGCAAAATAATTAAAATAAGGTAATATTAGAGTATTATAAATTATTATTTTAGCCCATTTGCTGAGATGTGGAGAACAGCGCCTCAAATAGTTTATTTTAAATGATATGCTTTTGATGACGTTATTAGCATGTTCTTTAAATTGTAAATTTGTATCAACCATAAATTTTTCTCTCTAAAACTTTATTCCATCAACAGAAACACACTGCGATGCTACATTTAATTTTTTTAAATTTCCAGTACCCCCAATTAACATCCATTTTGTCTTTTTGTAATTTATTTTCAACGAGTTTACGTTACAATAATCATATATTTTACTTATAGAACTATTAATTTCTTTAAAACAAGTTTCAGTGTTTTCATGGGTAAAACATATCAGTGTATAATCTGCAAATAAGTGTATTGAGCATCTTTCGACTACACCAGCAACGTCATTAATATAAATTAAA